CACTAACCTCTGCAGCTCCTTCATCGACCTCCTGAAATGTTACTGCCCCCCATCCCGTTCACCCGCCTGCTTTGACACTAACCCTCCAGCCTTCCCGCTGGAGATTTCTGATGCACCCTCATCGGTCCGGCACCTCCCTGAGCCCTCCCCTGGGCTGGCTGCACCCCACCACCCCAGTCCTTGTCTGTCGTGACAGCAGGTATCATCCTTTTGAGCTGAAGAGCGATTGCGGAGGCAACGACGTGCAGCCAGGCTTCACCAGGGCTGTCTCAAGTAGTTAAAAGTCAATCGCCCAGAGCTGCTGGCCACTGACTGCCTACCCGAGACATGTCTTCATGCAGATTTTGAGGTCAGCACAGATGCTCAGCTTCTCACGATTGTGCCTTTGCTGCACCTCCAAGGCAAGCAAGACAGGAGCTCTCTTCAGGGATGCTGCACTCTCTGCTCCATCCTGATGCTCATCGGTAAGCCTGGGATGGGGCAGGCAGAGAGCGACTTGGGGATGTAAAAGCTGGGACTGGGATAATGCTGAGCTGACATGATAAGGGGAAGCAACTGGTGTTGACCATGAAGTGTTCTCCTGAACCACAGGAGGCTAGAAATTTTGGAGGGGGAGCGTCACAAGATGGTTCATATAATCACTGCCCAGCATCTGCCAAGACGTCACCCCTGAGAGCAGCGGTCCAGCTGGACCCAGCACAGCCATTCACTGTGATCCCGTTCGCTGCTTCTACTGCTGGATTATTTACCGCTGGTAATCTCTGGACAGCCCGTGAAGGGTGGTAACGGCAGGATGGCTGTAACTTCAGAGGATCTCTTCTGCTTTCATCTGTGTGATGATAATATACGTGTGAAAAGGCTTTCTCTGGTTTTAGGTGTGGGCTGGAAATCACGAATTTAACCCTGAGAGGGCATTCACCACAGCTGGCCCACCCCTGGCTGTGCCCTTCCCTGCAAGGGAAGAAAAATCCTCTCAGGTTGATCGACTGGTGTTTCTCAGCTCCCTGCAAGCCCTGGAGAGGCAGAGCCCTTCACTGCCAGGGCTCGGGTCCTCCTTGATATCATCCCCCAAAATACGGATGCAGCCGCGGCACGTTGCCGAGAACCGGCTTCTGTGCTCGGAGCTGCAGCAGGCGGGGTGGTGGGGCGAGGTGTGCTGGGAACGCCCGCACGGGGCTGCGCTTGACGAGGGGAAGGGGCAGCGGGTCCAGCCCGTGCTCTCGTGCCGCGGGGCGAAGCGTGTCGCTGACCTGCCCCTTCCACTTCTCCGCAGGGGGAAACCTGGGTCTCCTCATCGAAATCCATCAGGATTTGGTCAATGGCACCGTGGGTCAGTCCGTGCTCCCGCCTGTCTCCTACAGATTCGGCGGTGCCCCTCGCTTCCCAGTGTCGATTGTCTGGGTGTTCACCAACAGCACGAACACGCTCATTACCTGCGCGCTGCTGAACTGCTCCCTGGGTGCGGGGGGGGGGATCCCAGCGGCGGCTCTGCAAAACGTTTCCCCCGCCCCGCGTACCCTGACCACGCTGAGCAGACCCATCACAAGGCCCATGACTCACCGGTGAGCGGTGCCGGAGAGACACAGCAGATCCGTAGGACAAGGGATGTGGTCGGCCCCGGTCTCTTCTTTCACAGCTGCAGCCTGACAGTTTTTTGCTGATCGTTCCCCGAGGGTGAAAAGGTGGGCACCCCTCGCCGTTCTCGGTGCGCTGTAAACCACGCTTGGGTTCCCGCTGAGTGTGACCAGGTGAGAGGAGGTGACCCCACACACGTCTTGCAGTGTTGTTGCAGCCGAGAGGGCTGTGGAGGTTCGTAGCCCCGTCCCCGCTGCAGCCGTGCTCCCCCAGCACCGACCCACGTCCCACGGTTGTGGCCACGAAGCTGTAGTCATCTCTGAATAGCAGCAACCAAGATAAAGTTAAAATAGGCAGATGGGGCTCCGCTCCTGCTCTGGCTGCCTCTTGGAGGGGGTGGCTGCGTGCGAGAGAGGGTCCAGACCCACCGCCCTGCTCCCGCCCTCGCAAACGGGGCGCTGGCAGTCATTAACCTGGGGGGGACAGAGGGGGAGCGGGAGCTGCGGAGAAGCGCAGCCCCGAGGAGCTGGCACGGGGGCACAGGGGGCTGGCCTGTGTCAGAGCTGTCCCCTCGCGCCCACGTTTGCAGCTCACGCTCCTCCTTGCCAGGCTCAGGTCCCTGCGTCCACAGCAGCAGCTCCCCGGCACAAGCGCTGCCACGTCTTGTGCTTCCCCCATGGCCCTGCTCGGGGGGAAGCACTTCCCTCTGTGCAGCCCTGGAGCCCGCTCTCATCTCTGCCTGCTGGGACCTGCCTGCAGCCCTGCCTGCCCGCCTGCCTGCCCAGGGAGGGCTTAGGCAGCTCCGCTGTCCTGCACTGAACCTGCCCGCCTGTGGGTTTGCACCTCTGGCTGGGAGCTTTGCAAAAACCCTTTTGCCTGGGCGAGGACCAGCAGCGAGCAGGGCAGGGGAGCGGAGCCGGCTGTTCCCTGGGAAACTGCTCCCCTGTTCCGGCTGGGACCCCCCTCTTCCCTCCCGCCGCCAGCGCTTGTAGCAGCCTGCGAGCTGTGATTGCCGAGCACAGGAAGAAAGCCTGGGCTTGCATGCTCGCAAATAAACCCTGCAGCACGCGGAGGACTGAGGAAGAGTCACCAACTTCCTCCCGTGCCGAGGTGACGACTCAAGAGATGCTCGCTGGCAGCCTCGGTGCTGAGCCTGGCGGGTCCAGCCCCGTGCCGGAGGCGTGGTGACCAGCCAGCCAGCGCTCCCACTTCAGTTCCTCTGCTCTGGTCGGGGCTGGCCCCCAGCACCCAGAGGAGATGTCCTCCGGCCGGCGCCGCTGGAGCCTCGGCTCCCTCCTGCTGCTCCTCGGTGAGTCTGGGCTGAGCTGGGGGTCCCGGGGGACAGGGTGCACCGCCAGAAGCAGCCCAATGGAGGGGTGCCACGGAGGGTGATGCAGGTGTAGCCCCTTGGCTGGGTGGCAGTGACAGCTCGCCGGGGGCCCCAGGACCGTCGTCCCCATGACATGCGCCACTGGGGACCTGCGCTGGCGTCAGTGCCAGGCAGGGTCGTGGCGGCAGGGGCTGCCCCATCCACCGGCAGGTGAAGAGCAGGAGGGTGCTGTGCCTTTGCCTCCCCCTCTCCTATCGGGGCACGAGGACTGAGAGCTGCTTCAGGTGTAGGTGGCCAGAGAGGCAAACCGGCCGTGAACTGGCGCAGTGTGCTGAAGTGCCAAGGGACAAATAACGCTGAGGGTGCTGGATGTTTGGAGCCCATCTCTCAGCCCTCTCTGGGGCTGCTGCACTGGCTTACGGGCAGGCTCAGCCCCTGCAGCTCCCTGCAAGCCCTGGAGAGGCAGAGCCCTTCACTGCCAGGGCTCGGGTCCTCCTTGATATCATCCCCCAAAATACGGATGCAGCCGCGGCACGTTGCCGAGAACCGGCTTCTGTGCTCGGAGCTGCAGCAGGCGGGGGGGGGGGGGGAGGGGGGGCGGGAAAGGCCGGGGAGGGGAGGGGAGGGTGTGCAGAGGAGCAGCTCCCCTCCCGCTGGGTTTGGGCTGTTTTGGGGAAGGCAGTCTAGGTAGCTGGCTTGACGGTTCTTGGGGGATTTCTCCCCTCCTCTCTCCATAGGTGGCTTGCACTCTGAAGGAGTTCAATGAGTACAGGCAGTATCTGACCACGCTCAAGCTGGAGGCAGAGAAAATGCTCATGCGAGAGGAGGTAGGCAAAGCAGAGTGTTCGTGGACACCTCTGAGCGGCACGGTGCCGAGGGCTGGGGCTTTGCTTGCGGCATCTCGGGGAGGGGAGGCGGTCAGTGCAGAAGAGGTGAGGGCTGTGCTGCTGGGCCGGCCGGGCGTTGTGGCAGGGAAAGGACTGCCGGGCTGCGAGCTGAGCTAGCGCAGGGTGCAGGGGTGGGCATGGGCAGGAAAGTCACGTGCAAGCACGCAGAGTCATGCAGGTGAATGTAAGTGTGAGTGTGCCGAGCACAGACGTCTCCTGTGCTGCCCCGGCCACATGCGCGGGAAGGAGCGGGCACCGGCAGAGTATTTGTCCCTCCTCTCGAAGGGATGAACTGCTGCGGTGCAGAGAGGATTTCCCGGGATGTCTTACATGGTGCTTTAGGTGTCTTCATTTTAAGGCAGGAAACCCATCCTGTCCTGCACTGCTAGCTCAGTCAAAGCATAAGGGCTTCCTGTGCAGCTGGTTGTCTCTACACGAGAAACGCTCTTTTTCCAGCCTTGCGTCTATTCAAGGTGAATGGTTACAGACGAGAGAGAGGGGCTGAGAAACCTGAGCGCCGGGTTTGGGTCCCGTACTGGAGAAAATCTAGTATTCACTGGGGAGAATAGGGTGCTCAGGGATAAATCTGTGGCTTCGCGGGCTAAGGAAAATACACCGAATGATTGCTATTTATGCCTGTGCAAGATGCGTGTTTCACGGGGCAGGGGCAGTCAGTTAAGCTGGCAGCCTCGGTCCCTTCGGCAGGATGGGCTCCTTCTTTAACCCGCCTGTCTGGCGTGTTTATTCACACTGCCACGCCGTCCTGACGATGTGCCTCACACCCATCTCTCTCTCTCTCAGTGTTTGTTTCTTGCTGTTCCCTGGCCTGGTTTACCACCCTCCACGGTGAACACAGGGGGTTTTGAAGTCCTAACTTTTGCATTCAGTAAATTCCCAATTCCCTCCCTGGGTTTTGCCTTCTCTGCTGGATCTCTGCCGTCTCTCACGGCACGAAACAGAGCACGCTTCCTTCATACCAGTGACTCTTCCACAACCCTGCTGCCACTCTGCGTACGAAGTACGTGAAATAATCTCCATGGCAGTATCTGGCATGGTTCAGTACAAATCGTTGCATGTAGCGCCTGAACGTCTGTGCCTTCTGTGCTAGGACTGGCGAGCTCCTTCCCCATCCACCCCGGCAGTGCCCTGAGACGCGCGCATGACTCGTACTCTCTCCGGGGTAGAAATATCTCTGAGAATATTTTCTGGGCTGACCTACAAATTCCAGCCTCTGGCCAGCACGGGGTGAAGCTGTCAGCCGTCTTCCCGGCAGTGCCGACAGGGAACCCTCCTGCACAGCCTCTGCGCTTCCACGTGGCGTTGGGGGCTGGGGGCCACAAACCCCAGGGACCGGTTATGAGTCTGAGCCCTGCCTGGCTCCATGCCCAGCACCTGCAGCTCCCGGGTCCGGCACCTCCAAGAGCTGCGATGTTAGAGTCCCAGCAACCCCCACGGCACAGCGCGTGCGGCCCACGGGGCGCGCACAGCGCGGGCAGACGTGCGGGCAGCCAGCACAGGAAGGGAAACTCAAATACTTGAGCTGTAGATGTGGGTGGGCTTTTTGCAATGCAATATTTCCTTTGACCTGTGTGTCCGTAGTGCCGCCCTCCAGCTCCTCGTTCTCCTCTCTGATCCCG